CTTCGGCGGCACGACGCGCGACGAGATGGCCTACGTCGCCACGCTCCAGGCCGGCGTCGCGCTCGCGCGCCTCGGCGACGGCGCCGGCGCCGAGGAGGCGCTCGCCGCGGCCGTCGGCTTAGACGCCGCGCGCGCCGAGGCCCGCGTCGCGCTGTCGAAGCTCCTGGCGCTCCAGGGCCGCCACGAAGACGCGCTCGCCGCCGCCGCGGCCGCCGCCGCGCTCCCGCCGCCGCGCCGCGCGTTCTACCACGACCCGCGCGCCTACGCGTGCGACGCGCCGCTCGCCGCGGCCGCGGCCGCGGCCGCGGTCCCGGGCGCCGCGGGCCGCGCCGCGGCCTTCCGCGCCGCCGCGGCCGCCGCGGGCTGCGGCGACGCGGCCGAGACGCCGCCGGAGCCGCCGCCGGAGCCGCCGGAGCCGCCGCGGCCCGAGCCGGACCCGGCCGCGGCCTGCGGCGCCGCCGCGGCCGGCCCGCTGCGCGCGGCGGCCGTGCTCTGGCGCCACGGCGCCGCCGCGGCGGCCTACGCGTCCCTGAAGCTCGCGCGGCCCCCGCGCCCGCCCCTCCCCCGCGCCGCGCGCGCGCGACCGGCCCGCGCGCAGGCCGCGGGCGCGCCCGGCCCCCGGTGCTGCGGCCCCTACCGCGAGTTCAGCCGCCTCTTCCTCGGCGAGGCGCCGCCCTTCCTCGCGCTCAACGCGTCGTCGCAGCGCGACCTCCTCGCCGCGCTCGACGCGGACGTCGGCGCGCGCGGCGACGCGGGCTGGGCCGCGCTCGTCGGCCCCCGGCGCGGGGCTGTGGTACACAACATCACACAGACGTCCCCGCCCCGCAGGTCGCCTACGGGGCCGCGGCGCTCCGGCGCCGCGCGGGCGACGCCGCGGGCGCCGCCGCGGCGCTCCGGCGCGTCGTCGCCGCGCGGCGGCGCCCCGCGCGGGGCCGCCTGGGCCCGCGCGCCGCGGGCCCGCCGCTCGTCGCCGCGGCGGCGACGGACGACGGCCACCCGGGCCTCGCGGCCCTGCGGGCGAGCGCCGCGCGCGCGAACGCGTCCGTCGCCGTCCTCGGCCTCGGCCAGGGCAGCAAAAGAGAGCGAAATTCCCAACTTCAAAGGCTCATATCTCGGCCGGNTTCCACTCGTTTCGGCTGATTTTTGGACGAGCGATCATCTCTCGGAACGG